TTTTCAAGATCTACACGTCGTGTAAAGGAAAATCCCAACTTTGCGGACACCCTGTATTTATATTTGTGCTGCCTGACCAGATGGATACGTTCTGCTTTGACCATATTTTCACCGAAACTAATGGCATTTCATCGGAGCCATTGATGCATTTCTGCCATTCTTATGGACATTGTAGGAATTTTTTCTAGTTTTCTGTGCCAGTGTGACAGATAGCAAAACGTTTCCCTTTTCCTGGACATAATTATTTCATATTGTATTCAAGAAAACTAATAATAATACAAGCACACCACCATTTTTACTACACAAATGACGAATTAGTTAGATACACGTACCTGACGGATTCTTTAGACCAGTGATTAGTTCATCTAAGGCTTGTCTTGCTGATTTAATTGTAAAGTCAGCCCATACCTTTTATGGTATGTCCTGCTTTTATCCAGGTTTCATCCAAGTAATAAACCTTCCCGCCCTGGTCGCGGTATATCTTTATTGATTTTAAATAGTTTCTTCTCCATAAAATAATCTCTTAGCCGTCCATCAAAATACTATTTCTGTCCCGTTTTCTATACTCAAAATAAAATTCCTTGAGTAAACTATAGATTGTGGTCTTTTTGAAAGTAGGTAAGTCTTCATCACTATTAACCTCCTACAATACTTCGTCTATGGTGGGAAGTTCCTGCCTTTAAAAAAATTGATGGACTTTGCGTCTAATGGCATTTCGATCAAAATTATTAACTGTATCCAACAGCTTTGCGTAATACAGCCTCTTGTATGGTGGAGACAATATTTTGTTAATAAAAACACTTTTTAACAATTCGCTTGTTTTTTATTATGTCTTTTTAATGCAGCACTAAAGACCTTACAAAAGTATTATAAAGACATCTTTAAGACACACAGTTTTTGTAATAAACTTCGTCCTTACAACTTCTTTAAGATGCTCAGCGTTCACGGGACGTTTTTACGACGTCTCTAATAGGTATCTCAACGCTTTTAAAACATCTATAAGATACGAGGGTGGTCCCAGAAGTACCCGGCCTGACCTAGAAATGGCGATAGTTGTTTGAAAAATATCACTGTATTAGAAAGTATGCAACCTAAAAAGCATATGTGTCAAGTTTGAAGACGCCACGTTGTTTAGTATTTGTGGCAGCCATCAATACTGAACGTTTTCAGTGAATTTGTGAAAATGGAGAAAATTGGCCATCGTTATATGATACAATACTTTTATTTCAAAGGTCTCAGCCCAACCAATATAAAAGCTAAACTGGATTCTACTCTGGCTGAGTCTGCTCCTTCGTTTACAATAGTAAATCAAGCAAAAACGGCCGCATTTGGTTAAGAAGAAAGTGTTGTTTGATCAAGACAATGCACCAGCTCACAAATCCGTTATTGCATCAATGGCCAAAATTAACGAATTAAAGTTTGAATTGCTACCTCATGCGCCCTATTCACCAGATTTAGCCCCCTCGGATTATTTTATGTTTCAAAACTTGAAAAAATGGCTCAGTGGTCAGAGATTTTCCAACGATGAAGAAGTGATGTCGGCAGTTAATGGCTATTTTGAGGAGCAAGTTCTTATTATAAAAAGTGTATCGAACTTATTGAACATCGCTGGGAAAAGTGTATAGAGCACAAACGAGATTAGGTTGAAAAATAAATACATTTTTTCACAAAAATTTTGTGTTTTCTTCGTTGGGTCGGGTACTTCTGGGACCACCCTCGTATAGTTGTGCTATTTGTGCTGACCTTTTATTTGCAATCTAAAATATTTTTAATCTTGAACCACCTGTTCCAAAACGACCATACGGTACAGTTTCCTCGCCCTTATTGCGACTCTGACTACGCCAATGCTTCGGCGCCGGCATATCGGTACTTTCACTGGCGGTCGTGCGTCGAACACCTCGCCAGTAAGTTACGTAACCCATATCATGGTTCACATAACCTCAAAACGTGCAAGGTGAACATCACAAGGCATCATTACCGCAAGCGGTAGTGAGATAGCATTGTCCGCTAGCTGCCGGGACTTTCTCTTCTGAAGGAGATCCAGTCAGTACGATGCCAAAGTCAAGGGTGGCCGTTCACGCAACGCGATGCTGTTGATCTTTCCAAGGCACGCTGCGATCTTCTTTCCAAAGCACGCCGCGATTTTCTTTCCAAAGCACCCTGCGATTTTCTTTCACGTTTTATCGGCTCTGAGGCACAAGAAACTAATTCGATATAGGTCGTTAAAATGAAAATGAACTACACTAGAAGATGATTGTATGTGGGCTTTGACCAAGGTTCCAGATATGCAGGAACTTTGAAAAGTTGCCTCAACTGTGTCTGCCTCTCTCAATGTAAAATTTACTTTTTCGTCGTCGGTGGCTACGAGCTAACGAAATTAGGCAAACTAAGGTAATTTGGGAAGCTGAATTTGAGAATATGGAGTGCAAAATATTCTAAAATGTATCGATAAGTTCTATTGGAATAGGAAAGTAGGCCTAGACTAAAATGGTGTCTCAAACTATGACCAACTGCAGACAGCGGTGTCTCGTGCTCCTTAGCAACCAATCAGTGCGATTTAGGTTTGGTCTTAGAAACAGGCGAAGGGAAAACAAGCAGGTGGGTTTGGTCTTCTGAAAAACTCAAAACTTATGTTAGTTGCTAATAAGCACGAAACAGCACTGTCTGCGATTGGTGCTGGTTACATAGACGGAAAGCACACATATCAATGTCAGCCTATATCTATGCATATATGCATTAAAATCAGTCGTTGGCTTGCTTCGTGTATACTTAGTATTGCTATTCCTTGACCAGTCTACGGTGATAGTGGTGCGACATCTTCTGGACTAGCTAAGAACGTCGAGAAGTTGTGAGCGAGGCGACGTAAGGGTCCTCTGTCATCTTTGTTGTATGGGATCAGAATGAGAATCAGCTAGGCAATCAATTGGTAGGGGACGTACACGTATACTTCTATGTATGGAGGGGGCTTTAAGACAAATACCTTTGTTATAAACTTTAGCGCAACGCTGCCCATCATGGCGAGATGGTGTAATGCACATCCGTAGTGGGATGCATAGCGAACGACTGAGTGGTTTTCGTATGCTATTTTAGCGATTTGGAGAGTCTCACATTTCGGATAGGAAAGGCTGATAGAAAGTATCCTTTTGAGCTTTTCTGCCTGAGAATGCCTATGAAAGCTTCCCTTGTCTAGAAAAAGAACTCGTAGCGCATTTTATCAGAGATTAAGATACACCATTTTTTTCAGTAATGCATTGAACTTTCTTCGTGCAAGGTTTACATTTTCGTTGTGCCCCATCGATGCTAACCAGAAATCAACGAGCTGGTGATCTACTCGCAGACATCGCTCTTTCGTCTTGTAGCACAATCACAGGAAGTGGAAGATTGACTAGCCTTAAAATTTTATATAGAAAGCTTAAACAGCATTACAACAACCAAAACATTGCACAAGTTCTGTAATACTCGATTTAAATTATATACTAAGTGACATATAAATCCGAACACCCAGTTTAAATGGTTTTATTTTAATAAAATATTGTATAAGTACAAAATGATTGCACTACTTTAAAGCCCTTTGACCTTTAATAATGTGTGGATGCACCCTGATGTGCTACGCATTCTCCAACGCGCCTAGGCATGCTTCTGATCAGGTGGTCAATGTCCTCCTGTGGTATCTCATTCCAGGCAACCACCAACTCCTCTCGAAGTGCTTCTAGACTCTGAGGAGGACGTTGCAAATTGAGCAATCTCCTACCCATCATATCCCACACGTGCTCAATTGGGGATAAGTCGGGAGATCTTGGTGGCCATGGTAACAATGTGACATCATTATGTTGGAAGAAGTCTGTTGTGACTCTTGCAACATGTGGTCGGCCATTATCTTGTTGGAAAGTTGGATCTGCCAGGGTGTCAAGATAGGGTAAAAGATGGGGTTCTAGAACTTCGTGGATATAACGCTGCGCGTTCATGTTACCTCTGATGAAGATTAAAGGTGACCTGGAACCATAAGCTATAGAACCCCAAACCATAACTCCAACAGTGTGATGAACATGTCTTTCAACAAAAAACTGTGGATTCCTCCTTTCACCACGTCGCCTTCTAACCCTGGCACGACCATCATGCATGCCTAAACAAAATCGAGACTTGTCACTAAAGACAATACTGTTCCATTCCTGATCCCAGAGTGACCGTTGTCTGCATCACTTAAGGCGATTACGTCGGTGTTCTCGAGTTAAAGGGAGAACCCAGTGTGGCCGGTATGAAAACAAGCCAAAACTTCTCGTTCGTCGGTAAACACTTCGCATGCGAATCGGTCTTCCGTGTTATGCAAACCATTCATTTGCAATGGACCTGGTAGTGGAGAAACGGTCCCTTAAGGCCAATAATCTTAGGCGGCGATCTTCACGGTCTGTTGTTCTACGGCGGCGTCCAGTGCCCCTTGCTCTTTGCGTACGGCCTTCTCGAAGCCATGTCTGACAACACCTAACCACAGTGTCTACACTTCTTTGCACTCTAACTGCAATTGCCCGAAAAGAAAGTGGAGCTTCCCAAAGTCCCACTATACGGCCCCTATCAAACTCACTAAGTTGACGAAATCGTACAGGTCTCCGTACTCTAGGCATCGTAAACGATCGTAAAGGATGTCAAGAACCAAAATCCGCTAACGTTGATTCTTTACTGCCGCTGAAATATTCATTTTTAGAGCGTTAGTGAATTAAAAAAAAGCAGTATAAAAACCGGAATGTCCAACTGATAAGGCTAAAAATTTTTTCACTTGTTATTTACAGTAAGATAAATACATTCACCAGCTTTTATTAAAATAAAACCATTTAAACTGGGTGTTCGGATTTATATGTCACTTAGTATAGTTAGGACCAAATATCACGGGATTGACGATTATAACAGGAAAAGAATAATTATAAAAAAATGGAAATATGTTTATTTGCCCTTAAAATTACCTAAAAATGTACAACAAATATAATTACAAAAAATGTAAAATACAACGGTAACTCACTGGCATACGACTGAATATGTACAATCTTTGTACTAAGTACAAAAGGATCAAGAAAGTGGGAATAATAGAGAAAAACCCGTGACATTTTAACTAGTCTTCTATGGTTCTGAACTGTTACATAAGCATGGAAAGTACCAAACACAATATTCGAAAGTACTGCTAGTCCAAATTTTTACAAAAGCATCTATTGTCTTTACTGGTTCCACAAGTTCACCATTTTAAAGCGTTTAATTCCTTAAAATTGTTTTGTAAAGAGCTTTGTAATCAGCCAAGTGCAAACGTTACGAAATTGCTAATGACGATGTTGTGTGCGGTAAACAGTACTTTGCGAGTCTTGATCAAACTTGCAATCTCTCACAAGCAGTACTTAGATCGAGTTTATAGTATCATCATATCATTTGTTTTATACACCGCTGCTTGAAGTCACGCTAGGCAATTTTTTCATTATATATAATATGTACAATTGAGTTTGGTCTCTATTAAGAATAAACAGGCTATTTTAACCATTTTCTTGATCGCACCACAGGAAAACAGAAATTATATACAAGTAGTTCAGCGGAACAAAATCAATATACTGATTGGAAGTATGATTTTTTTTACTGATAAAAACATAAACCTCAAAAATATTGTATTGTTTACGTACTCGAAGACTTTCAATCAGAACTTAACCTTTTTTCGTCTAATTTTATAGAATGTTCGGTAGAAACGGTAGAAATATATGTTTACGTGTTGTGCCCACAGTTCTGTTTTGTTATGACGATTTACTGAATCTGAACTTCAACAACATATAGCTTCGCGTACAAGAAGTTTTCTTTTTTTGTGGGTCCGTGTTGCAAGAGTATTGTGTAGCGTATATTTGTGACAAAATGGTTCAAATTTGAACAGCATATCTGTTCGATAGTAAGCTTCTCCAAGAAGCAGTAGTTGATATACGCTATCTTGAAGCAGCTCCACTTCGCCAGAGAGCATGATAGCATGTGGCACCAACTCATTCATCTTCTTGGCACCCTTGTAGACGTCAGTTCAACTTCTTCGTCAAAGATGGTTCATGATTCGATGGGTTTTACGCAAACGTACAGCGCATGTCCTATTGACCCCATGCAATGGGGGGTACCATCTACAGCTTAAATGCTTTAGTTTTAAACTTTGATCAAAAGTCGCAGAATATATCTCCGATTGCATTTGTAACAGTTGTGGCATTCGGAATTGCTTATCACATATATCATACTTTCCAAAACTAACACAAAACACTTTTACTTATCTAAAATATTGAGCATTTTTAGAATTTTTTCGAGATTAATTCCACTGAACTAGAACAGAGAGCAGACTCACATTAAATATCCCTATCAGTCCCATCCGTGATGATGATGCACCTTGACCCAAACTTTCTCCCAGATCGGCCTTTGGACCTTCTTCCACGCTGGTACTTCTATCGTCTTCCAAACGGGTACCCAAATCTGTTTCCACGCATCTTTCCAGATCTGCTTTTTCTCCGTCACCCATTTCTGTACTTTCTCCGTCCTCCAAATTTGTACTTTCTCTTCTTTCCAGACCTGGATCTTCTTCGGTACCCAGATTTGTTTCTTTTCGGTTCTCCAGATTTGAATCTTCTTAGGGATCCAGATTTGTTGTTTCTCCGTTCTCCAGATTTGCTTTTTCTCTGTTCGCCAGATTTGTTTCTTCTCAGTCTTCCAGACCTTCACCCATTCGGATTTCCATTCCATCTTCTTCTGCGGCACCCAGATCTGCTTCTTCTCGGTACGCCAAACCTTCTTCCAGACAGGCTTCCAGATGAGTTTCTTTTTCCACAGGTCGTGAGCTGTATATTCGTTACCATGATCGTCTTTGCCTAGATAATGTTCTCCGTGGATTCCTTCTTTCACCCATTCTGGTACGTAGTTCTTCTTCCATTCTGGAACTTGAATTTCTTTCCAGGCTGGAACCTTGATCTCTACCTGCAACAAACCGGAAAAATGTAACTTTGGCATACCTAATATATAAAATATCGTTGGAGCTCAAAGATATACAGTTCATATGACCCATGGTCCAAAAGTCAATAGATTTTTATCTAAATGGCTTTATAAATTAGAACTTTAAGTGCTTTATATCGACCACAATCACCACAATCTTACTAATTTTTATAATCTAATCTAAAACGTTTTTAAATTGGGTAATTAACAACTAAATGGCATTAAGTTCTTCAGAGTTAAGCCAAAATTTATAGCGAGCAACTAAGTCTCATTAAATTAAATACACATATCAACAGCGCGTCGGTCATCCATCACTCTTATCGAACCGGCAATCGATCGCAAACGGTAACAATGGTTAGTTATTGTTCACGTACGTCGTCGTGTTTATTTACAATGTTCTCGAATCAAGAGTTCGCCGACATGTTGTCAGTTGGTGAAGCTCGTCAGAATTCAAATCTTGCAGCTCAAATTTATCGCGACTGATTTCGCCAACGGGTACACCCAGACAGAAGGACATTTATGCAAGTATACCAAAGACTTCAAGATACAGGAAGTTTTCAGTCCACTAATATTAGCCTTCCTTCTAGCCAATAACCTACCAGGACTTTTGGAACAGACCTTAGACAACATGCCATTACAACGGAGACAGAATTTGTGGTTTCGACATGACGGGGCACCACCACACATTTTCAGAGGCGTCATTCAGTATTTGAATGAACATTATCCAAATCGTTGGATCGGTCGAAATGCTCCTGATCCTCGAAAATGGCCAGCAAGATCTCCTGACCTCAATCCGATGGATTTCTGGTATTGGGGAGAACTTAAAGGGATGGTTTATGGGGCTGAGCCAATAACAACTGAAGCACAACTTCGCGAAAAAAAATTTAATGCGGCTGAAATAATAAATTAACAAGTTCGAGGACCTAGAGTAAGAAGAAACTGGCTTCGTCGTAATGAAGCTTGTATGGAAAGAGGAGGACGACATTTTGAACACCTTCTTTAAATACAAAAGTGCAGTGTTTCCCTATTTATAAGTGACCAGTGAAGCCAGAGAGCAGACACACCTCCATCTTTTAGCCCCTATAATTTTTTTTCAAAAATAAAAACAAGCCTCTACAATGTCAAAAAACGGTGTTAAATCGATTTTCTTTCGTCTTTGGCCTTTTATCTACCGCTACTGGGCTGATTTTCAAGCTGTAGACGGACCAAGGATTACCTGATAGACCGACATAATGAGAACGAAATTTCCCTGTTAAATTCCTGGAACTCTAGTCGAGCAATATAAAAGTCAAGTAATTGAAAAATAACACTAGATATAAATCCTGAAGTACAATATTAAAGCATCCTTTGAAGGTCTAAAAATGAGAGTGTTTGGCATTCTTATGATATACCTCGTGCTATAGTTGTGAATAGAATATCAATAAATAAGCATTGTTTAATTTTTTAATGATCTGTTCGATAATTGAGGATGTGGATCACAATGGGAGGTAAGTTCATCGCTTACGTAACAGATTTAAAAAATAAGTTCAATCTTGTCAGATAATGAGGGAAGTTAAAAAATGGCTGAAAAGATTAACAAATTTCGAAAAGTGGTGATTGTGCTACCTTAACAGATAGTAAAGCTAGAAATATTTCTGGCACACGATGGTAGTATGGGGAAGGAAACTGATATCATTGCTGAGAAATATCCGTGACCACTGAATCGATAAAAAAAGTGTCACTTACCCATATTGGCTTCCAGATTTGCTTCCACGCGGGAACTTGAATTTCTTTCCAGTCAGGTACCTGGATCTCTTTCCAATCTGGCACTTGGATTTCTTTCCACGCTGGCACTTTGATTTCTTTCCAGTCCGGTACTTGGATCTCCTTCCAAGCTGGGACCTGAATTTCTTTCCAGAACGGCTTTTGGACGGTCTTCCAATCAGGCACCTAGTTAAAATTATAAGAAAATACGTTGTACAGAACAAATGATCAACGTCTCGGTTGCATATAGAACAAAAAATATTGTAGCAAGTTTCAACAAAGAAAAATGTTTTGAGGGATCAACTACGAAAATACAGGCTTCTAGAAGGCCACTGGATACAGGTTCTCTTAAATAACTCATCACCGAGGGTGTGTAATTGAACTAGATTCCGAAACCATGATTACTAGTTAAAATTTAACTTATTTAGTTCACCAGAAACAAAATAACAGTAATGTAATTTTGGTAATTGTTTCAGCACTATGTACAGGGTGGTCCATAAGTCCTTTGAAATTTCAAATTTGAATAAAATTTAACGGGTGAGCGTGAGCGGCGCGGGCGAGGTGGGGGCAGTATCTTCAGTGTCTGGGAATTCAGTCGCCATGGAGTGTTTCACTGGAGCGGATCGTGCTTTTTGTGTGCGCGCGTGTTATCAAAATAATGATTCGGCAACCATTGCGCGGCGTAAATATCGAAAATACCACAATTTACACAATTTTACAAAGTGTCCAACAGCTCAAACGATTAAGAACTCTGTTGCTAAGTTCGAAGAGACTCGTTCGACGTTAGATAAACAGCGGTGGGGTCGACCAAGGACAACTCGTATTGAAGAAAACATCAACATTGTGGCACAGTCTGTTCGTCAAAATCGTACCCAGTCTACTCGTAAGCGTTCCAGTGCACTAAACGTACCCAGAACATCTTTACAGCGGATTTTAAGGAAAGATTTACGTATGCACGCTTACAAAATTCAGTTAGTGCAGGAATTAAAAGATAATGACGCTATTCGGAGACTAAACTTTGCGAATGAAATGTTGAATCGATTTTCTTTGCTCAATAATGTGTTGTTCTCGGACGAGGCTCACTTCCATTTAAACGGGCATGTAAATAAACAAAATTGCCGTTATTGGAGCCCCGAAAATCCAAAGCGTAAGCATCAGAAGCCCTTACACAGCCCTGAAGTTACAGTTTGGGCTGCTATGTCAGCGCATGGCATCGTAGGCCCTTATTTTTTTGAGGACGACAGAGGTCGCGCATTAACTGTTACTTCGGAGCGGTATGTAGCAATGATAGAAGAGTTTTTGACACCAGCGTTGCAGAATTTTCCAGGCTATAATACGCAGACCTGGTTTCAACAGGACGGAGCAACTGCCCACACCTCCAACACTTCTATGCCCGTCGTCTGTCAACTTTTTCCCAGCAAAGTAATTTCTCGAAGAGGAGACATTTCCTGGCCACCACGTAGTCCAGATTTGACCCCAATGGACTTCTTTTTATGGGGCTACCTCAAGAGTAAAGTGTACGACACCACTCCGCGATCAGTTGATGTCCTGAAAGAAAATATCCGAAGAGAAATGGCAAGCATTACAGTGTTGACTTGCCGCGCAGTCATCGACAATTTTAGACGTCGTTTATATGAGTGCCGTGATCGTAATGGATTGCATTTAGACGATGTGATTTTTAAAACATAATTCCCATTCAATAAAGATGATAACAAAATATAATAATTCTTCATAATGTAACTAGTTTGGTTTTATTCCTTTTTTTCCAGCTCAAAGGACTTATGGGCCACCCTGTATAATAGTCAGTGTCACAAATCCTATTTTTGGAAATCTTGAACAATCAGCTAAAAAATGTACTCTTGTCTTTCAACGGGTAGTTTTGGAGATACAGTAGTTTTTTCAATCGTAATACCGGATCCAAAATACCAGTTTCACTGTTTCAAAATATCTAATTCTGTAAATAGATTCGTAATCAGCACTTTTTGACCACCTCGTAGCACCAAAACTGTATTACACCACAAATTATCTCTGGTATCAAGGCAGCATGGAAAATACCACCAAATACTGACACTGAGTCCTACAATCACGAGCACCATCTGCTGAGGTAACGGGGGGTGAAAAGGAAACGATTGTGGGCTGGTCTTAGACGGTGGTCGGCGCTACTTTAAAAGAGGAAAGGATGACTGCGGGTGCCTACCGAGGTAAATGTTTCTAATAACAGAGTCGGATTCCGATTAGCGATCTGGCCTGTAAATCCTATTCCTATTCCTATTTTGGTACTCAGCTAGTGATCATTTAGTATTGTTCTATACTTGTTACTGTTCGTCGATATTGTGTTGTTGAATTGTTGTGTTGTTCTTGAGTGAATTATTTGCAGAACGACTTATCTACGCGACATTATATGAAATAGGGCCACCAAGTTATCTGAATACGTCCTTTCTCAGTCCGTACATTGCGCCGCAACGCTTGGTTTGGCAGCACGAAACAGTAGACAAAATTCGTCCAAAATACGATTTGTAGAGGTTTGCGCGCTTCGAAATTGACGCTTTATTTTTTGATATCTTTGGATGAAATTTTCATGGAGTGCTGAAAACAAAACCCCACAGGGTGCTATAGAGCCACTTTTTCATTTTTTTCACTAGGTTCTTTTTAAAAAAATCGCGAAGTTGAACAGAAAAAGTGCGCGCTTCAACCCATCATAAAACTTGTGCAAAAACAAAATTTCAAAAAGTGCTCCTATAGCACCCTGGGCATTTATCTTCTCAACATACTGTATGAATTTCATTCAAAAATATTGAAAAATGGAGTGTCAGTTTTGAAGCAGCCGAACCCTTGTAAATAGCTTGAAACTCACTGCGTCGGAGTCGTCTTAAAGGCAGATCCTACATTGGTAATGACCACGGACACAACTATGCTAATGTGCAATTTCGATAAAAGCTATTTATCCGTCTGGGAACAGATTTCCCACGAGTGATCACCCTGTACCACCTTACACGCGCCACATAGGCGCCATATAGGTCGATGGATACCCTAAACCGCATCCGCTTAGAAATGTGCACATCGTCGGCACATAATGCATAACCAGCAATGGTGTATCCTTATCAGCCGAAGTTGAGATATGATTATTATAAAAACTAGTTAGACTGATACGTGACGGTATTTCCTCTCTGGGGACAGTTTCCATCGGAGGTCAACTCTTGTCATTCTTTCCTGCGAGAAGGACAGCTGATCTCTACAGTGTAACTAAAGTATGTACCTTTTTTTTATGTTTACAACACTTTGCAGCGCCAAGCGAGACAGCTCAGCCCCGAGCTGCCATCCCCCAAGTCACAATCACATTCATTGTTGAATCATCATTATAGAGACCATTGACAATGAAGCATTTACTTACCTGAATTTCTTTCCAAATGGGCACCTGTATCTCCTTCCACGCAGGAACCTGGTACTTCTTCCACTCCGGCTTCCAGATAAGCTTCTTGTCATGTTTCCACACCTTCACCCATTCAGTCTTCCAGACGAGCTTCTTACTCCAGTAGCCTTCCGGCTCATGGTGAGACCTCTTTGTCCTTGACAGACTGGTGACTGGGCTGGTGTACGACGGGACCAAGAGCCATCCTGACAGGAAGACCTGGAAGTTGGGGAGGTAGAGGAGGGAAGAAAGGGCTCGTTTATTGTTATTTTGAGGCAACACAATGTAATAGTTTCTTCCAGTATCTGGAATACGATGAATAGCGAAATGTTCGTTATACAGGGAACACCACATTTGTCTGACGACTTGAGTTCAGTGTGTACGAGAGAGAAGCGCCTGAAGTGCGAAGGTCATCATTGCAGACTTTACAACAGAAAATGTTCGCACAGGCTACTGCCAAACCCAAGGAGATCTGTTAGAACATTTGATTTAATATATTGTTGTGTTTCAATTGTGTTTTAATTTATTTTAGAAAAACCTTTGATTTCCACCGATGATGATAAAATCAACACATCCGGAGCTACTGTGACGTTTTGCGATAGCGAGCGTAACAAATACCATTACGCAATACAAATTACCACGTGTACGCAGGTCCAAAATCGCTGATCTGTGATCATGGAGGTGGAAACCTTGCCTTGAAATGTGCGAGATGCGCTGTTGCCAAGCGATCCGATGATGCAATGTTGCGGAATTAGTGGCGATTCTGAGCTTCCATTTCGACCTAAAGTGGAGCGCTATTAGGGTCGATCCGGAATGGATCCTAAACAGATTCGAGACAATTCACAATTTAAGAATGTGTACGCTCAAAATAAAACCACTATTTTCACATAAAAAAAGCTAACGCATATTTTCAACACGTATCTTAATTCAAGGAACTACTTTAACATATTGGCAACGCGGCAGATTGCCGAATCAGTGTTGCTAGGCAACGCGGTGATGAGCTTCGCTATCCAGCCAGCTTCTATCTCCTTCTAATATATGTGTCTATATACTATTTTCTCTCGTACACATTGAACTCAAGCCGTCAAACAAATTTGGTTCACAGTGTATGTTAGCATAAGAAGATTCGTTCAAATAAAAGTTCCATCGTCTCAGTCGTGTTGCTAAGGAGGATTGCACTAATGACCTTGAACAGTTTTCCTTTCAAACAAAATTGTTTAGTCTGAAGTATGACAGTAAGAAGGAAGGCAGTGACAGAGACTTGGTTGTCTGTTCGGCTTACCTTCCTTACGATTCAAGAGACTCTCCTCCGTCTAAGGAAATGGGGGACCTTGTCGCATTCTGTAGGGATTCTGGACTCGACCTTGTGATTGGATGCGACAGTAATGCCCATCACGTTACGTGGGGCAGCTCGAACACCAACAGACGGGGCGAAGACCTGATGGAGTTTCTTGGGGCATCGAACCTTGAGGTTCTGAATGTCGGTAACATGCCCACTTTCAGCAATAGTGTAAGAGAAGAGTTTATCGACGTAACACTGAGCACGCTTAACTTAGCTCAGGACATCAGGGACTGGAAAGTGTCTCTAACACCCTCTCTATCGGATCACAGGTATATACTGTTCAAGACTGATGGAGAGATTCCGGATAAATATGCTCGGAATCCCAGGCATACTAGATGGGGGTCCTTTAGGGCAGACATTGACAGTAAGCTTGGAGCGGTCCCATACAGGCTTGGCAGGGGCTCTGACATAGAAGCAGCTGTCGAGTCTCTGAGCAGGGACTTGACGGCCGCATATGAGGAAAACTGCCCGTTACGCAAAGTACAAGGTAAGGGCAAGGCAACCTTCTGGACCAAAGATTTAGAGGATAGAAAACGAGCGGTGCACAAACTTCTTAGCAGAGTTAAGCACAGGAGAGGTTCTCCTCTATGGGAAGAATACAAAAAGGCATTGCAGGAGTACAAAAAGGAGATTAGAAGGGCCTCCAGAGAATCCTGGAGGCACTTCTGTCAGTCCATAAATGACATTCCTGCTACTGCAAGAATACACAGAGTCCTATGCAAAGACATTAAAGCAAGATTGGGATCTCTGCATGATCCCTCGGGGGGGAACACTACTTCCGAGGAAGATACTCTGAGGCTTCTGATGGATACGCACTTTCCCGGTTCCACAGTAGCGCGATCAATCACAGAGTGCATGCAGTTGCGCAAGCCCTCAAGGGAGGACTGGCGCACGGCAAGGGAGATTGTCACCTTCGAAAGGACGGTATGGGCAGTAGATTCGTTTGCCCCATACAAAAGTCCAGGTCTGGACTGCGTATTTCCGGCCATGTTACAGCAGGGACGGATTTCGGTTGTTCCTTACCTGTTGAAGGTGTTTCGAGCATGTGTGGCCACGGGCTTCACACCTAGAAGCTGGCGGCAGGCTAAAGTGGTATTCATTCCTAAACCGGGCAGAGATAGATATACTGGCCCGAAGGATTTTCGACCGATTACTCTTTCATCTTTTGTGCTTAAGACCCTGGAAAGGATAGTTGATAGATACCTAAGGGATGGCCCACTGGAAAGGTGTGTCATTCATGCAAATCAGTTTGCATACCAAGCTGGAAAATCGACTGATCTGGCCTTACACAATCTGGTCGGGAGGCTGGAGAAGACTCTAGATCAGCGAGAAGTGGCACTCGTGGCCTTCTTAGATATTGAAGGTGCATTTAATTGCACCACAACCGACTCTATCAGACAGGCTTTGGTTAGACACGGGGTTGGATCAATCCTAATAGATTGGGTCCTCTCTACTCTGGAGGGTCGGGTAATAACAGCTATGCTGAATAACGTAAGCTGCAGCGTGAACGTAGCTAGAGGCTGCCCTCAGGGTGGAGTTCTGTCACCCCTACTGTGGTGTATCGTGGTGAACGAACTGCTCGTTAGGCTCAGCAGTATGGGTGTCTACGTGCAAGCCTATGCTGATGACGTAAGCATAGTGGTTAGGGGGCGTTTCTGTAGAACAGTCTCGGAAATTATGCAGGGCGCTCTGCGCTCCGTGGAATCGTGGTGTAGGGAAGTCGATCTTTCTGTTAATGCTGAAAAGACCGAGCTGATCCTATTCACTAGGAGAAGAAGGCTTGACGGACTGGTCATGCCTACCTTCTTTGGGACTAGATTAGTTTTGTCCCAGTCAGTGAAATATCTGGGAATTATCCTGGACTGCAAACTGAACTGGAGAGAGCATGTGGAACACAAGGTTAGCAAGGCTCGCAATTCGATGTGGGCTTGTAGACGTGTTGTCGGTGTAAGGTGGGGGCTTAAACCCAAAGTGGTATACTGGCTCTACACGACGATAGTACGTCCATCTCTCTTGTACGGCTCCCTGGTCTGGTGGCCTTGCATTAGAACTGAGTCAACTAAGGCCAAACTCAATAAAATTCAGCGTTTGGCCTGTATTAGCATTACAAGCGCAGTGCGAACAACGCCATTGAGTGCAATGGAAGCTCTGTTGGATCTCCCACCGTTGGATCTGGTGATCCGCGGTGAAGCGAGAGTAGTCGCTCATCGACTGTGGAGTCAGGGCAGCTGGGCTTTCTTGAATCCGGTCAAGGGGCATACTGCCATATTAGACGAATTAGAAAGGGAGGACCCCGTCCTTCTAAGCAGGGGTGATCGTATTACCCCTAAATATCGCTTCAACCGCAAGTTCATTGTGGAGTACCCAACGAGGGAGGAGTGGGACGCCGGTAGCCGAGGACTCTCCGAAGTGAGCGGGCAGGTCTGGTACACGGACGGCTCGGTCACCGAAGAGGGCTCAGGTGCTGGGGTCTCTGGACCTAGAACTAGGCTATCTCTGCCTCTCGGTGAGTACACCACCATTTTCCAGGCGGAAATCTTTGCGATTCTGGCTTGTGTATCTCACATTCTGGAGGAGGGTGGGCCTAGGAGAAGAATAACAATCTTATCCGACAGCCAGGCTGCAATGAAAGCACTAAGTGCTTGTAAGATTACTTCGAGTCTTGTATTGCAATGCAGGGAGGCTCTGGATTGCCTCGCAGCGAGGCATCCGGTATCGTTAATATGGGTACCGGGGCACGCTGGGATAAGGGGCAATGAGACGTCGGACACTCTGGCGAAAACAGGATCAGCCAGCAAGCTCGTTGGTCCTGAGCCAGCTCTAGGAGTAACCGCGCATAAAGCTAGGAGGAAAATGGAGACGTGGGTTGCAAGACAACACTCTCAGAAATGGAGAAGTATCTCTAGACATCTCCGCCAGGCACGAGAGCTCATTGAAGGGCCCAGTGCTAAGGATGGACGCTTCTGCCTATCTCTGGGTAGAGCCAACCTAAGGTTGCTGGTGGGACTGTTGTCTGGCCATAACACGTTAAGGCGGCACCTGCACGTGATGGGGGTGGCTGAGGATCCCTTGTGCGAACGCTGCGGAGTAGAGGAAGAGACCTCGGCGCACGTTTTGTGTCGCTGTGAAGCTCTGAGCTACTATAGGCAGACTATACTGGGGTCCATTACTTTGGACCCTCAGGACGTAAAGGAGCTTGGACTCAAGGCGATTCTCAACTTCGCTAAAAGGGCGAGGCTTGTGAAGTATTGTAGAGGTGCATAAGGGCCCGCTTAAGCGGCCTATGCACTGGCTCCTTATGGTGGCCGGGATGCCTCTAAAATTCAAGATTCATTCATTCATTCATTCATGACAGTAACCTTCCAAGGAAAAATCACTCTCCAACCTCCTTGCAATTCTGTATTCTCGGAATAACGGAAAAGAAAATCTTGTGCCTGGGATACTGTTGACACATGAGGATGGTGGTCTGTGCACATGCAGTGCTTTTCAAAAAAGTCGTACCACTTATTTTTTGAACAGGTCAAGTTAGCTAGCTGAAATAAGAGGTAAAGAAATTGATACGTCAATAGCTATATTTTAATGTAAAAGTGACAGTTGCAATTTTTAAGATGGCGACTGGGCGCGGCTATATTTTAAAATATCCAAGATGGCACCCAGCTTCCATCTTGGCATCCATTTTAATATCCTCATCTTCAACTTGTTAGCTTGACCAATGGGGAGGCAGCATTAAAAGAAACACTGTAGATAAGATGGACATTTCGCGATACATAGAATTCCAGACGATATTCTGTTAGGTAATTTTTCATTCTGGAACATTATACAGTCAGTAAACTGCAACTGTAACTTCTGCAATGTTCCATGCTTCATCTTATCCTTGAAGCTGAGAAAACCTCCAGACCGCAGAAACAAAAAAAGGCCATTAGGAGAACAAGGACTTCCGTTATGAAGTATTTTTCGAAATTCAAGGCAATCGAAACCTATTTTACTGAAGTACGTTCAAATCTAATAAAACTCCTTAGCAATTTGTAAACAGAATGTTGCAGAAGTTACATTAAGCAAGAAGTACACGATTGATGAGTGTAGAAGTATATTTTTATAGATGTTTATATAGTTTTGAGATAGCAACTGCATTATGGAAAAAGATGTTTAAAAAGAATGATATCTAACAAAGGGGTACTTCTTAGCGGAGATGATGGTTTCAAGCAACTGGTGGATAGAAAAGTATTCTGCTTAACGTGAGATGAAACAAAATGATAATGTATGGTAGAATAACAATCATCTTAGCCTTTGAATAAAGGATAGGCAAGGACTTACAAATGAGCAAACATTATTTTCGATACACTTGGGTTACTTGTCATCAGTTAAGATGAACGCAGGCATCTAGTGTTAATTTCTCCCTTTGCAAGACAATATACAATGTACAATAGCTTTAAATATATGAAAAAGTACGTATGTACATGCGTTACCTAAATTAGACACGTTAATGAAAAATATGGTGAAAGTGCTACTTAAAAAAAGGTGGCGGTGCTATCAATAGCTCAATTTCCAAGGTGAAATAGACAAATTCGATAATTGAATTATCGGTAATTAGTTATGGGTTAACTTCTTGCCTAGAATTAAATGTCACTAGTCATGCTGTTAGTAAACAATTGATGTATTTTACCTGAATTTAAAAAGATATTTACAGTATATGTTCGGTGCCTTACAGTTCCCTTTCGCATTATTTACAACAAGTAACTGCTACTGATTTTTTGTTATACATTGGGTTAGTTTATTAACAGTGACGAAGCATTTTGTTAGTATTGCAAATGCGTTAAAGTAAATTTTTACATTTGGAAAATAAGCTTATATTAATTTTAGGCATTTTAAATTACATTTAACTACACAAAGTCTAGTCTAATATTAGTTGAGTTTTTACAAAAATTTTCATACTATACATCCTGATGCTGGTGAAAATGCATCTGTAGAAGAGATTTTTTGATACTCGTAGATTTTATTTATTTTCCAATTTCCTTAAATACTTTTGAGAAGGGTAGCTGATTATTAAAGAGTGTTTTTATAGGATTCCAATATCCAACGTTGACAAATGTATAGTTCAGGTATAAAAGGTTCGTTTTATGTTTAGTTACCTAAAGCTTAGACTTTATATCCAGGGATGGCACCCTTACATTTTCTATATTTAACCTGCGTATTGAAAAAGCACATCAGGTTCATGTATCACCGATGTTATGCAACATTCATACAAAGGCAGTATCTTATAAAAGCTTTTACACAAAAATGTAATGATTGATTTGCTTTAAAATTTTTCAGGTCTTGTAATGTTGTAATAGTTACTTTGTATTTTGTATTACCCAGTTATAGATTGAGATATCAAGCGATAGTAATGGAAAAATCGCCTGAAAGCTTTTTATATATTTTTTTAAATTGTTGGATGTTACATTGTCCAAATTAGATTCAGATTATGATACAGTCACTATTATGAGTTGTGGCACTATATGTGGCTCATATTACGGTGTACATTTTAATTGAAGTCAACTCAAAGGTTCCAAAAATTTTTCGCTTACACAAAAACAGAATTTTATTGGACGACTTTTTGCAGAAGAGAACCAACCTAGAAAAACAATTATTGAACAATTAGGCTTTAAAGTTTTGACAATGATAAAATATTAATTTTAGACCAAAAACGATTTTAATTAATATGTGTATATAATATAACACTAAACAATTTATAAGATATATGTTTGTAACAGATTATTTTCATAAAATATGGATTTTTCATATATAGTAGGTTGGTTGCTTTCTTCAAAACACCGTCCTATGTGTGTCATTCAAGCAAATAATTGCACTATCACTACAGTCAACGATTCTCAAAGGTCAATCAATTAATTAAAATAATTTGATAATGAGTGGTCATTCATGGTGAAACAAAAATTTAAAGATCATCAATGAAATAGTAAGCAAAAAATTCTGATAATTTTGATTTTGACCTCAATTAATAGTACGTACCGCATAGCTTGCTTAATCATGTGTCACATTTTCACATTAGTCCAGAGTGCCTCCCAAGGGTTACCATCCCCTAAGGGACAATCGCCCCCCACCCCACACTGATACAACCCCTAGGGTTTCCGGAAGACCGTTTCCACCACCGAAACCGCGCAGTCCATGCATGATCACACCACCGGAAGGAAAATGTCACTATAGTGAAAACCAAAAAAACACTAACCAGCAGTGGCCAGAGCCTGGTAGCGAGCGAGAGACACCCCATCGCGAGGGGTTCGGAGGGTGTGTGTGCTAGCGCTGTACTTTGACTAAACGCATTGTCAAATAAACAGAGGTTTTATATGGGGCCCCGGTAGTGGCAGCGGTGCTCCCCCTATGGACCGCGCATAAAGAGAGAATGGCAATTTCGGTCTCCTCTGGTGTGCCCATGCTGTCGGTCGGATTCTTCGCATGGCTCGGCGCCGAAGAAATTTCCTGCGTCGGCCGGAAGCTAATGTGCAGATGGAGGTTTGAATTTCCCGCCGAATTTTGGCTGCCTGACAGGGAAAAGACATTGGTGACTAGGGAGCACTCTAAGATAACATAAACTTTGGGGGGGGGGAGGAGCAGGGTGTCTTTGCTTTGCTTATTTTTGTTAGCATGGGTTTGAATGGTAATTATGTCAGTAATATATTTTTTTAACTTTTTCGGATTTTGTATAAAATTTAGTCGATCTGTCCAATACTTTCTTACTGCTGTGTAGTATTACTTGTGCCTCGATGCTGTCATTGAGAACAGGATCTAAGAACAGAAAAACAGTTGTTGTAGATTTGATAGATAAGAAAAATTGTTATTCTTCTCTAAAACTGCCGCACAGTACCTTCCACCCTTATACGTAGGGAGTGTTAGTTCTAAAAATCAGTACTCAGTCAATACGTAACTATTTATTCATATTATGCAATGCAAGCGTTTTTGTTTATTTTGTGAAAAATATCTAACACGATTATTCCACCTTACATTTGGCGTTCACCAGGAATGGGTGAGTCCTCAACAAATTTTGATATAGGGCCCTTCAAGAGCAAGCCACGCCTGAATTAGACAATAATATATTTTCATGATGGCGGCTCTGCTCCCGGTTGTACCGGAAGTAGATAACAACTTGCTTGTTTTAAATAGAACACCCTGTATATCCTTTAGTGTTATTCGGATGACAAGTACTACAGGATAGTAAAAAAACGGTATTAAAATTATATTTTCGGAAACCAAAAAGTCAATTTTTTCAAGTGGAAACCACATTTTCTTATAATTGAATCGTATTAAGCATTGAAGATATTATTGTATGAGGTAGATCGATAGGTATCGAAATATAGAGAAATATTGATTTATCTATCACAATAAGAGCGTACAACGAATTCTATTACCAAATCGACCACTGCGAGAGCGGATAGCAGCTATATAAGGATGGGCTTCGATTTAAGATAATAACGTTAACCTTTAAATGGACTTCAAGGTCAATACCAAGAACAGTCGAACTTGAAATCCCCTCCTCTTCCGTTTTTTAGGGTCGTTTCGATCTTGAATATCTTTCAAGGTCAAGATTTACGTCATATCCAAATCAAGATTGTTTGAGTGCAAAGGTGCAAAAGTATACTGTCCCATTGAAAAATATCCCGTTGACCTTGAAAATACCGCCTAGGGCAAGGTCAAGATAATGTCCAACTTGGAATGTTCCCTTCTTTCGATTTTCGGAATCCAAATTATTTCGTACAATTATAGAAACTCACTTTGACCTTGAAATTATTCCCAGTCACGGTCAAGGTCATTGTCCATGAGAAATCGGAAAATAAACTTAAAACTTTAACCTCTTCGATTTCTGGGATCCCATTAAATGAAATCGCTTTGACCTTGAACTGGTCTTGAAGGTTAAGGTCAATCTCATTGACAAGGTCACCATAAGATTGCTTAAATAAAATCCTGCAGTATTTTTTGAGATGGGGGGGGATCGGTGGCTTTTTGAATACCCTGTATATAGATGTAAGGGAAACTGTCGTATCACCATCTTCTTGGGTAACTTGTGATAGCTGATGATCCAGCCCTGAGTAGCCCCTAGGAAAAATGACCTCACGGAGCTAAGGTGTTGTGATTCTCGTTGACTATCCTTCCTTCAATTCAATAATACAAACTTTCTCAGAGCCTCTCAGACTTTAAGATCCTAATTCATTATCAGTTCCTTATTTTATGTTTTCCAAACAAAAGAATCAATTAGCGAGTGCTCGATACCAATTCATCGTTCGTCCTTGTCGGCAATTTTCCTTCATTTCTTGTCTCGGCAGACTACAGATTAGTAGAGCAAAGCGAAAGTGGATTACTGTTATTTATATGATTATTTAATAACGTTTTTTTTGTTCATAGCGTACTCTCGTCTGTCACAATCCAGTGGCTTTATTGTCCGATCACCTGGCATTCTTGAGATAAAGATTCGCGCTGTTGTGGTTATTTTTAGGCTTGTAGATTGTTTGATAAGCTAAAGAGAGACAGGAGCTTTGTTGTTTGATTACGTTTGCTGATAGTACCGTTGTGTTGCTATTCCGGAGGTGTTCTGATCTCAAAGAATGGCGTCAAGTAGGTTGACTCTGCACGTTTCATGAAACGCTGTCATCAGTTCATAAAGGATTATGTTCGGTACATGTTAGACTTCTGAGGAAAAAGTTAGCTTCAAACTTGTAAAACGGTCACAAAACAGATCGAGTCTTTCAAAAATTCCCTTGCAATCTGTCTATAGACAACGTCGCCCCCCCTCCCATACTACTCAATGAATCCACTCGTTAGACTCGGCAGCGTGGCAGTGATAGAACTATACTCATGGGGAAGACTGTGACGCCCGTCAACAGAGAGAGAAAAAAAAATGATGTGTGAAATATGTATAATTATCGGGGCTGGAGGTATGAACATACTAACGTCAAAAAACTCAGATACATCCTCCTCCACCTCCAACAACGTCCAAGCCGCAATTTTCAACCCCTCCGCTTATGTTTTATGCACGCCACTGATAGATGTTAAAACTAGTGGGTCATGGAAAATATTCCATATTTTGTTATCCGGATATACTCGTAAATGAGTTGACAGGACGTTAGTGAAAGCATATTGGCACCTTCTAGATATACTGCCATAGCTACCACTAATTACTTTCGTATAATTATTCATTGTTTGCCTTTTGCGTTTTTTATTAGTACGACTTTTTGCGTTCGCTAAACATTTTCCGTAATACTAGAAAAGCCATTACGAGTAAAAAGCCATTTCCGTGAACTTGTATCTTATTGTGTATGAAAATACTCATTTTATGTGATAACGTAATAAGCAGTAAAGGACACGTCAAACTGCATTAAAAGGTCTTTGACACAATCGAAGCTTATAACTGCATTTCTTTTCGTAGCTATGAGCGATAAAAATATGTCATATTTGTGTCAAAGTGTATAATTAAAGAAAATAGAAACTACGAGTAGAACTCAAAATACCTATGCAGTATTTTCTCCACTTTTTGAAAATTTTGAACACTTTGGAAATCTTGTGACTATAGAATGTTAAGAAAATTTCGCAAATTCTGCAAATTTTGAATTCTGAAAATCATGAAATTTTGAAAATTTTTAAAACTGGAAAATTTTTACATTTTTGAAAATTTTCAAGATATTGAGAATTTTTATTGATCGACTTTTTTGTTTGGAAAATGAAAAATAAGGAACTGCTGATGAATTGGAATCTTATAGTCTAAGAGGCTGGGAGACAGTTTGTATTATGTACTGGCATTGGAGGAAGGATAGTCAACTAGGATCACAGCACCTAGGCTCCATTAGGTCTCTCAGAGCTGGCTCATCAGTTACCCCAAATTACTACTGATGATACGACAGAATTTTGGAAAATTTAAAAATACAGAAAATTTTGAAAATTTGAAAATTTTGAAAATCTTGGAAATTTTGAAAATTTTGAAAACATTGAAAATCTTGAAATTTTGAAAATTCTAATAACTGATATTGAGAATTTTGAAACTTTTTAAAATTTTTGTTAAGCGACTTTTTTGTTTGGAAAATGAAAAATAAGGAAGTGCCGATGAATTAGAATCTTAGTCTGAGAGGCTCGGAGACAGTTTGTATTATGTACTGGATTGGAGGAAGGATAGTCAACGAGGATCACAGCACCTAGGCTCCATTAGGTCTCTCAGGGCTGGCTCATCAGTTACCCCAAATTACTCAAGGAGGTGGTGATACGACAGAATTTTGGAAAATTTTAAAGTTTTGAAAATTTTGAAAATTTTGAAAATTCTAATAACTGATATTGAGAATTTTGAAACTTTTTAAAATTTTTGTTAAGCGACTTTTTTGTTTGGAAAATGAAAAATAAGGAAGTGCCGATGAATTAGAATCTTAGTCTGAGAGGCTCGGAGACAGTTTGTATTATGTACTGGATTGGAGGAAGGATAGTCAACGAGGATCACAGCACCTAGGCTCCATTAGGTCTCTCAGGGCTGGCTCATCAGTTACCCCAAATTACTCAAGGAGGTGGTGATACGACAGAATTTTGGAAAATTTTAAAGTTTTGAAAATTTTGAAAATTTTGAAAATTTTGAAAATTTTGAAAATTTTGAAAATTTTGAAAATTTTGAAAATTTTGAAAATTTTGAAAATTTTGAAAATTTTGAAAATTTTGAAAATTTTGAAAATATAGAAAATATAGAAAATTTTGAAAATTTTGAAAATATTGAAAATTTTGAAAATCTTGGAAATTTTGAAAATTTTGAAAACATTGAAAATGTTGAAATTTTGAAAATTCTTAAAACTGATATTGAGAATTTTGAAAATTTTTAAAATTTTTGTTAAGCGACTTTTTTGTTTGGAAAATGAAAAATAAGGAAGTGCCGATGAATTGGAATCTTAGTCTGAGAGGCTCGGAGACAGTTTGTATTATGTACTGGATTGGAGGAAGGATAGTCAACGAGGATCACAGCACCTAGGCTCCATTAGGTCTCTCAGGGCTGGCTCATCAGTTACCCCAAATTACTCAAGGAGGTGGTGATACGACAGAATTTTGGAAAATTTTAAAGTTTTGAAAATTTTGAAAATTTTGAAAATTTTGAAAATTTTGAAAATTTTGAAAATTTTGAAAATTTTGAAAATTTTGAAAATACAGAAAATTTTGAAAATTTTGAAAATATTGAAAATTTCGAAAATCTTGGAAATTTTGAAAATTTTGAAAACATTGAAAATTTTTGAATATTTCGTAAATTTTTTAAATTGTGAAAATTCTGAAACTGAAAGTATTGCAAATTTTGA